CACTCTTTCTCCTTTCCCTGTTTCCCATGTTCAACCGAGTTACTTCCTGGTCCTTTTTTTCATTGCTTTTTCTCACGTCTGAGGCAGTTTCTCCTTCCTCATCCTAGAACCGTGTGCCTTTTGTTCCCTGCAGGGATTTGTGCCGTCTCCCCCCATTAACTCTCTGATCAAGCTGCTTCTTGGCTCCCTTTCCCTTCTTGCCAGCGTTCCCTCTGCTCTTCTCAGCATTAGGAAGTCAAAAGAGCCCTTCCTTTGCCTCGGACTCCCTTTTGTCTGCCCACAACAGTTTGTTCTTTTGTCCTCTGCTCCACAGATGCTGCAGCAACAAGAGTGCAAGCTCCTCTACCCCAGGAAGGAGGGCCAGCGACCAGAGAACAAGGCTAAGAATCGCTATAAGAACATCCTTCCCTGTAAGGAAACGTTGAATAGTGGTCTGGGTTTTTTTTCACCACAATTTTTGCAGCCTTCTCTAGGGCTAGTTAACCCTGCGGAGCTTTCTGATCGTAGCTGAGTTGGAAAGAGGTGTACAGTGTCCTAGTGGAGCGGTCCAGTTGGTTCATGGTGTTCTCCATCCCCTTTCTAACCTGCTCCTTCCCTTTTGCGTGGGTAACCGGGATATTGCTCTCCTCTCTTTGTGCTGCGAGTCCAAATACGCTTCGGAGCTCAAGTGTAGTTCAGAAGTCGTATGGAGCCAGACCTAGAGCTTCCAAAGGAAAAACTGGAAAACTTGAGCTCAGGTTAGTCCACAACACTGCGTATCACTAATATCCACTCAAGTTACTAGGTTGGCAACATCGCTGTGAGCCAGGTAGCGTGGAGTACTGCTAAGTGTCATCAGGAGAGCATTTTACACCTTTTATTGCGGTAGTTATCCGCGTGACTTTGTAGTAGGAGCCTTGCGGGAGCCCTTGCCGGGAGCTGCGGTGACTGCCCCGTGTGTGTGACTCCCTCCTCTTCTTCTCCTTCAGTCGATACCACACGGGTGGCACTCCGAGATGTGGATGAGAGCGTGCCTGGCTCGGACTACATCAATGCCAACTATATCAAGGTACTTGGGAAAGGGAAGACACCATGTGGGGGTTGTCTTCAGCCCAGTGCTATGTTTCTGGTGGGTAGAAGTGCAGTAATGGTGTAAGTCTTGAGGGAATGGCCTGTCAGGACCAGTATCTTTCTCTGGGCCCAGGCCAAACACTGGATTTTCCTACTGTATCCCAAGGGATCTCATCATTCTACCATGTCCTATCTGCCCCTGTCTAAGAGTTTATCTTAATCCCCTCCTTTCCTTACCTCTTCAGGAGGTCCTAGGGGACTGACCCAGACTCTCTGTCATTGAACATTATCGCCGAGGTCAAATTATAATTGTCATCTGTAAGCTAAGAGCTGTTTGAAGCTGTATTTCCAGCGATGCTGCTCTGGCACTTAAGCACCAGCCTCTGGGAAATCTTCAAGGTGGTTTCATTCCAGCCATGTCCACCTGCAGCTTCTGCCGCTGCCTGCTGGCAAGGGTCTGTTGGGCAGTCACGGGTGGTACAGCAGCATGCAGGTCCCTGGAGGCAGGCAGCCCCTTTTGCTGGCGAAGCTGGTGATGGGAGCCGTTTGTGTCCGCCGGTCTGATGAATAGAGGAAAATCAGCTAGCTCAGAAATCCTGCGTGGCAAGATGCACTGACTTTGCTGCTAAAGTTGCACTAAAGCAATTCTCAATTCCTCGCTCCAGCATCGTTGTCTTGTTTGTTTGTTTGTTTTCCCCTCCCCTCTCACCTTTGCTCCTCAGAGCATCCCTGAAGATGGAAGGAACTCGGAGCACTGCAAGATCTATATAGCCACCCAGGGCTGCCTGCAGACGACGGTGAATGACTTCTGGGCCATGGTTTATCAGGAGAACAGTCACGTCATTGTCATGACAACCAAGGAGGTGGAGCGGGGCAGGGTGAGCACTTGTAGGCTGCTATCCCCAAGCCTGAAAGTTATCTGCTGCTAGTACTAATAGTGTTTAGTTAAGTTGTCCCTGGCTGGCTTTCATTTCATTTCTCCTGTCTCGTAATGCTGCTTTAGCTCTTCTTCATGAAAGAAACACACCACTTGGCTCTGCCCAGCCGGTCTCCCCAGCCCCACAAATATTAACGGGGTATCCCTCGTATCACTTGCTTCAAGGCTCTGGGGAGCTGCAGGTGGCAGAGGGAGAGAAAGCATCGTGGTTGTTACAGCAAGCTGGAAAGCCGGAGGAGGGTTTGGGAGGGTGTTGTGAGCTGTGTGAGGGACACAAGTGGTAATCTGTGTACCACCTGTATGCATTTCACTCAGAGTGGGTGGGTAGGGGCCACGGAATACAGGGAAATGCCACGCGGAGCCATTTACCAGAAAAGTCTTCCCTAATAAAGTGAAGAGCTAATTACGACTGGCACTAGCCGTTCTGCTTAGGAAGGAGGGGGGAGGCTGTGCTCGCAGCAGCCGAGTGCTGAGCTGAGATAAAGACAGCTCTACCCGTAAGCTGCCTTTTGCATTGGCAAGGTCACTGTAGCAAAGAGGGGATGGGCTGGAGGACAGGAGGGGTACGGGCGGACTGCGGAGCCCCTTGGGATGGAGATTTGGCTCAGGAGTTAGTTACACAATGACCAGACCAACAGCTCAGGTGCTGTGTGTGAAGACTATGCCTTTGGCAAAGCAATGCCCACCCGAGGCTGGGGCTAGCCGAGGAGGGAGATTCCCCTGGGGATCACGTCCTTCCCATAGGAATGGCCCTTTCTGGTACATCCCCAGTTCAAAGGAAATACTCTATGTGTACGACTGTCCTTTAAACCTCTACGCTGGGGCTACACACCCTTTGAATGCACCAGCATCCCTGAGCGAGGTGGTCAGGAGTTCATCCTCCAGCTCCCCAGTCTCGACTAACGAGCAGCTCTCTGATGTTGCTGCAGAACAAATGCTTCCGTTACTGGCCAGACAAGAGTTGCACCAAGGAATACGGGTGCATCTGTGTGCGAAACGTGAGCGAGCGTGAGGCCCAGGGCTATTACCTTCGGGAGCTGGAGATCTCACGGACTGACAGGGTGAGTCCTCTGCTGCCGTCGGCTCGCTGTGCTGGGACCCCCGGGAGGGAGCTGTAGCTTTTCTGTTTGGTTTTTGGGTTTGGGTTTATTTACTTAATGGTCCCACTGCTTAAGTTCTGGGCCACTTTGCCCCAGCTTTGATTAAAAAAAAAAAAAAAAAGGAAGGAAGGAGAAGTCTTCTAGTAGGAGGGCGTATCTGACCAGGTGGTGGGTCTCTGCTCCCTGCAGGATGAGCGCCCAAGGCTGGTGAAGCACTATCAGTATTTTAGCTGGCCAGACCATGGGGTGCCCAATGAACCAGGAGGGGTTCTGAGCTTTCTGGACCAAGTGAATCGGGCACAGCGAAGCATTCCGGACACGGGGCCGATCATCGTGCACTGCAGGTACGAAACAGTGGGTCGTCAGCAGGGCACCGCAGTGGGGATGGGTAATAAAAATGGGTCTCTTCTTTTTCGTTACGCCTGCAGCTGGGTCGTCACGTGAGCTGATGGTGGGAAATTGCGATATAAGTATACCTATGGGAAAATACAGCCATCCTCCAGAGCCTCACTGGTCTAGCGCAGGGATGAGCAGGCCTGATCTGGCGTTGGTAGCTCTGATGCAGCCTGCTAGACTGATCTCCTAAGGGTCAGCACTTGGCTGGTCTTATCTCATGTGGCGTGCCACATCTGCCCAGGATGGACCAGGCATGCCGATGGGTGTGGGAGCTGAGCTGACTAACTCTGGGGAACGTTTCTTCCTGCGATGAATTTTTTTTTCTTTTCTCTTTCCAGTGCTGGAATAGGACGCACAGGCACCATCATAGTGATAGATATTCTGGTGGATATTATTCACAGGCAAGGTACGTCGCTCTGTCTGTCTCGTGGCTTTCACCATTCGCCTTGCTCTGACCAGTTATGAGATAACCCTGCTCTTGTGCAAGCAGGATCTCTAAGCGGAGGGTTTAGCTTGTCTGGGAAACAGTGGGCATAGGCTTAGCCTGAAGGTAGGGTGAGAAGGGCTTTTGTACTGTGCCCAGCTCCCTGTTTCTCTACCGGCCGAGAAATGGAGCTCCATCGTAATGAAATGTGAACTCTCTCCAAACGGGTGTGCACATGGACAGCCCTCTAGGAAGGGAGATGCTTCGAGCAGGACAGCACAGGAGAGTCTTCTCATCGGCATCAATGAGGCCAGGATTTCAAGGTCTCCTGGAGGACCCTCTTTTATTGAGGGCAGGGCAGGGGCAGACAGGTTCAGTAAGGGTGTAACTCCAGTAGCCCTTTTAGAAATAAGTCCCCAAACTCTTCTGTGTAGAAAAACTGTCACCCTTACCTGAAGTTCTAGAGCTGTTACAGAGCTCTCGGTGGTATCTCTGGGTCTGGTCTGGGAGCCTTGAAGCAGGTGGACCCTCTTCAGCAACGGCTGTATCTATTTTATAAACCGTGCAGGGGTGGTAAGTCTGGATCTGTAGGAAGGTGCCGCAGAACAGACCGAATTCCCCTCCGCTCCCCTTGCTCCAAGAAAGTCAGCCCTGCCTCAGCCGTTCTCAGTCTGAGGTGCTCTGGCAGGGATAAAAAAGAAGGGGGGAAAAAAAAAAATCTAAGCACAGAGATGCACCAAATCCTTTCACAATATTCTGGGCTTTGGTGACGCTGTGTGCAGTAAGATACTGAAAGCTTTCGAAGTCGTCTTAAGAAAATAATTTTTCAACCTAATTCCCGCTCCCTAAATCTCACCTTCTTGCTCTTGAGCAGGTTTGGACTGCGATATCGACATCCCCAAAACTATCCAGATGGTACGCAGGCAGCGTTCGGGCATGGTGCAGACAGAGGCGCAGTACAAATTTGTTTACATGGCTGTTCAGCAGTACATTGAGGCTGAGCAGAAGAGGTTGGAAGAAGAACAGGTGAGTCCCGTTCGGCTTAGTTGGAAAAGCGAGGGCAGAACTTGGTCCCCACCTAACACCGCTTCCACTCCCACCTTCTCCCTGGAAATCAAATACTGCCCTGCACACGTGGGAATAAACCCACACCCACTGCTCCCTTTGCTAGCGTACAAGGTCTTGTAAGGCTTTCTTTGTGTCTGCTTTGAGCGGGATTTTTATTGTCTTTGCTTTCTCTTTCAGAGGAATAAAAGGAAAGAGCGAGACTACTTGAATATTGGCTACTCTCCTATGGAAAAAGGCAGAGCCAAGGGGCAGCCCCCTTCGCCACGGACCCAGCCTGGGTAAGCTGAATGTCTCCCTGCCAGGGCTAAGAAATTCTGCCGCCGTAGAGAGAACAGCTTGAGCAAAGGCCCCAAGATTTATCCTTTCCCAGCCTGCCTCCCCCATAGAATCATCGAATCATTTGGGCTGGAAGGGACCTTCAGAGGTCATCTAGTCCAACCCCCCTGCGGTGAGCAGGGACATCTCCAACTAGATAAGGTTGCTCAGAGCCCCATCCAGCCTGACCTTGAACGCCTCCAGGGATGGGGCTTCCACCACCTCTCTAGGCAACCTGTGCCAGTGCTTCACCACCCTCATTGTAAAAAATACCTGAAACCTGACCAGTTGCTGGCTATCACTTGGGAATGGCTGAAAATAAACAGGTCCCACCACACTGTCAGCAGGGCTGGGAGCAGCCCACCTTGCCTCTGTGCTACACTTTTGGAAAGGAGAAGAAGAAATAGATCCTAGCCTTTAGCGAGTAGTGCCCCATATCCTTGGCTCTGGAAAATGCCTCTGGAGAATCAGCTCAAGGGTGAAACCGTGCTCCTGCCGCGGAGGGACTATTTTCCAGCAAAATCTGAAGGAAGAAGAGAGCAGAGGGAGGTGGGTTTGCATCCATGTGGAGAGGGAGCACGTGCTTACATAGCATGAGTTCCTTACATAAGCAGAGATAAAATGCCCCCAATTATGTTTTTCCCTCTTGCCCCAAGTCACGGGATACCAGTGAGTGATGGAGAGGGGGTTATAAGTTGAAGGTGAGTGGGTAGGGACATATGTCAGCCATATAATACCAGAGCTTTTGAGCACCTTGAATTGCAGGATCGGTTTTGAAAGCAGAGATGGCTAGGCAGGAGCAGAGGAGTGGGTGTTAAAGTGGAGGCAGAAATGCTGTTGCTGGGCTCATGCAGAATGAAAAACCCAACTGAAGAGGGCAAAAAGAGATGTCACAGGTTCTTCTCTGGGCATTTGGCTACCGTCGGAGTGCTGGTGGCTCCTACCCGCTGTGCCCAGAGCTGTTTCTGCGGGAAGAGCCAGAGCTGGGCCAGGCAGATGGATGCTCCGGGCCAGGGCTTGGGCAGCTGCTGCCCTGGGAGCCGGGAAGGGCAGGAGGAGTCGGGGACGGGCACGGCTTGGCTCCCGGAGGAGTCGGGGACGGGTACAGCTTGGCTCCCATGGCACCCCACAGGCAGGGGCAGGCAGAGCCGCTCCGGTCCTGCGGCACATCAGTAACTGCAAAGACCTTGCTTTCCTGCAGTGCTGAAGGGAAATTTGGATCCTTCGCTGGCATTATGAACCTTCCAACTCCGGCTGGATCTGGCCAGTTGGGATCTTCCCCACTGGACTCAGTTTGTGTCCTATTTAAAATGCCCAACTTTGAAATGAGGACAGGGATGACTGTGTGGGACTGAGCCGAGGAAGGCGAGCTGTACATGGCTGGTACCATCAGCTCCAGAGAGCTCCCGTGAGTTCAGCCTTGGGCTTCAAACCTGTTTTCGAGGTACTTGGATCTGGCCTTTTGAGCAGCCCTCTCAGAATCACAGAATCGATGTGGTTGGAAGAGACCTCTCCTTCCATTAGATTTTGGAATATCCGGAGAAACTGGGTATGTAGAGAAAGTAAGTGTAGGAAATACCAGGAGCTGTGTCCGCTGATCCTGCAGAAACTTTGGATCCATGAAAGGCTGACATGTGGAGGAGGGTTCAAGCCTCCATCCCCAAGCTGTATTTGAACCTAGGAGGGATGGCCCAGCCAGAGGGAGAGAAAACAGGGATTGAGAGCAGCGGGGAACCCCACCTCATCCCATCTACCAGGCTGGGGAGGGAAAAAGGGAGCTTGGCTGGGCCATTACCCACTTCCCACTTGCCTCTGGGAAAAGATCCAGAGCAATGAGGCTGTTAATAACAAGGCTTTGTTTCTTGACAGGGTTGACGATGAGTCGGCTTCCGTCTACGAGAATCTTAACGTCAAAAGCCCAAAGGTTTCAGGGATGAGTAATACAGGGCGATAAAGGAGCCGGAGGTGAGCTGTATGGAGGCTGTAGGGGTAGGGATGCTTCCCTGGATTAACTGAGAGTGTCACCACAGTCTGTTCACATTGCATTTGGCCCAGGTCCTCTTCAGCTCAGCTTGGGCAGATCTCTGTGGCTCTGCCTCCATCGGGGAAGGCAGCTGTGCTTTGGTGAAATTTGATGGAGCCTAAGGATGTGACTGTGGCCAGTGCTGGTGGGAGAACATGGGGGAAAGGGGGTAATGAGGTGTCAAGAGGGAAACTCTCAAACAGTGACGGGGGGAGATCTGCTTTTTGGCCTGTTAATGTCAGGAAGCTGTCAGAGAACGAGACTGTGCTACGTATGCAAACAAGTAGGAGAGACTTCACGTGCTGGGCGTGTCTCAGCTCTGTAACCTTATCGTCAATGCACTTTTCTCCTGGTTTTAAACTGTGCCACCCTTCTTCTCTCTTGTTTTGGAACGCAGGATTTACAGTGTTTACGTCCACCCTTTCCAAGTTCTGCAATTGCGGACAATTATATTTTTTTTGCCCGTCTTGCTTTCCCCAAGCACCTTGGATTCAGCGAGGAAGAAGCTGACTGTAAGAAGCAAGCAGAGTCTGCGCCTAAGAACATGCCTTGACCTAACTTATTCATGAGAAGGATCTTCTCCCATTCTCCCTGGTATCAGTAGGTTGATATTTACGTGGAAGTGCCTCTGGACATTCATTAGGGCATCAAGGCTCAGTTTTGTGGTTGGTTGTTTTTTTTTTTTTTCCTTTTAATTTAAGATTCTTTTTTTACACACAAATTGTTAAAAGGCGTGGAAATTACTACTTGCTTAGGAGCTTTCCCAGGGTTGCCCACTTAGGGCATTAGTAAAATGTTAGTACACTTTAATGTTTTCATTAGGTCAATCATTTCTAAGCTAGAAGTGTTGTTAGACTGAATCCTGGACTAACTTTGCTGCCTGTGAGGGTGAGAAATAGAGAGTCCTGCCTGGACCTAGGTATCTGCACCTCTGTTGATTCTCCTTCTCACGCTTCTTTTTGGGCTGTACCAGTTCTAGATTTCTGTGCAGCCCTGCCAAAGCACACCGAGCGATCCCTGCTGCCGTGGTACAGCAGACGCGTGTGTGTCTGTGTGTGCCTGAGAGCCTGCTAGCTGCTCCGCGCCGAGGTTTCGTAGCAGAATTGAGAGACAGAGGTGAGCATCTTCATCTTCGGCTGCGTGGGTCTGAATGTGGAGCTAAGTGAAATCCCACCTTAGCTGTTTGATGGGTGCTGAAGAGAAGGAAAGCGGCTTTGACTGTCCGCCGTGCTTTTAGCCACCCCTAGCGAGTAACAGCCTTAGGATACTAATCTGAGCTGAACTTTTTGAGCTGGGCCCCTCTAAGCTTGATGCAGCTCTGCCGTTACCTTGCTGCATGACCTCGATTTCCCCCCCCCCGCAACTATACGACAAGGCAAGCGTTGTGTCTGCTGAGTAGGGGTGTTGGAGGAGTGTTTGTGACTTGACCAGTGCCACGAAGATGAACGTGTCACTGAGTGGAGTATTCCAGCTCCGTTGATAAGTCTTGATTTGTGACTGCCAGTGCTTCCTGCTGTTCCAGCCCTTAAGGTCTGCAAATAGTCCTGCCAAAGAACCCCTTCCTGCAGGATTCATCAGGGTCTGAAAGTGTGCTCTGTGGGGAGCCGTGGGTGTGAGTGCCAGCCCCTGAACCTCCAGAACATGCGTGGGGGCTGATGCTGAAGTCCTCCTAGGTCTCTGGGACTGGATGGACTTGCTGCATGGTTGGGGTATTGGTGCCCCGAGTCCCGGCTCCAAGTGTTGAGCAGGAGAGGTTGAGCAAAAGCACAATGACAAACCTTGGCTGTATTTCCTGGCTGGTCTTTCTGGTCCCTTGTCACAGGGACAGGAGAACTGTTTATTTTTATTGCACTTTTAATAAATGTTGAATATTCTCAAGGCGCTTTTTTTTTTTTTCCCTTTCTTTTTTAAGTAGTTTGCTTTTTGGGAAAGTGACTGACAGTTGGTGTGGACAACGGGGCATCCTGAACGTCTCCCATTGCCAAATGCTACCGTTCAGGGCCCTGTTTTCACTTGCTTTGAATCTTCCTTTTGACTATGCATGAGTGAGAGGTTCAGCTGCGTGTTAGCTAAACCTTCGACCTTTGTTTCCAAGTACATGGTGAGAAGGGGAAGTGCAAAGGGACAGCCCCCACAAGGATGCTGTGACAGACTACTAGGAACAGTTGGAACTGTGAGAACATCTCCATGGCCCGTTTGCCACCATGACAATAGATTTTATGAGGCTGAAGATGTTCTTTCCCTCTCCCTTGCCTTTACGTCTCAGCTAGTGGGAGTTGAATGTAACAAAGATGTAAGGACAAAGCACTTCATCTCTACTAGTGTCTGTTTGCTGGGCTTAGTCCCAAATGCACCTGGGGTAAAATAGAAGTGCCTTCTCTGCCTTAAGTCTTAGCGGGTCAGTTTTTCGAAGAACACGCTTATACGGGTGCGGTGAAGATATCCTTTCAGTGGCAAGCATGGGGGAATGGACAAGATGGTACAAGTGAGAATCCCTGTCAAGCCCAATGACTTTGGCAGAAGTTGTTAACAGTGCCTGGCGTAGTTTCTGCAGACATGTGGCTGGCACAGATAATACCAACCTGCAGCTGAGCAGCGAAGGTGTTGCGGATACAGCACACACAGCGACTTTCCCCAGAAGTTTTGCATAGCAACAGACTTGAGTTACTTCTGCCGTTGCTTCAGCCTTTTCTATTTCGAATTAGATTTTCTGGAAAGGGAGGTTGGAAGCATCTTTTATCCAGCTGGGAAGAAGCAAAAGATAAGGAGTCTTTGCAGCTTCTCATTTTTCGGGTCAAATCAGGTAAACAGAGAGGGAAGTTGCACTTGGGACACCACCACCTAGATGGTAGTAAGTAAGAATTTACAGGATAAAGCTGCCCACCAGAAGGATTGTGCAACACTGGGACAGCTGATGCACGGGCCAGAGTACAGACATGGCACTGCCGTGTAGCTACCGTGATTTGGGAATGCAGCTGGATGCAGAACTGCTACGTGAACACCGCAAACTGCGAGTAAGAAGGGAAATGTGGAGTAATTGCTACCAATTGACACCTTGCATTGTATAAAACGTAATTTAATACATACACATATGGTACTTGCATACAATACTGTCTTAACATCCATGTGTTTGAATAGAAAACATTTAATTGTAAGCCGCCTTCATCACGAAGACTTTTGTTAATCACTGTCAGAAGATCACTGCATTAAATAAAAATATAACGTAAGCGACTGGCCTGTGTCTTAATACTGACACATTTTAAGATTAGGAGGGTAAAGCTGTCACAAGATGGAACTTTTATCGTTTTGGCAACAGTTTGCCTGTGAGAAGCACGAATGAAGTTGACTGATGAAGTAAGGCGAGGGGCAGGGTTACACTGCTGGGTCAGCGTGCCTAACGCCACTCACCCCCTCTGTTCAAAAATCACTCTTGATGAGCGATTTTTAGGCATCTTCTTGGGAAAAAACGAGTGGAATGGCTACTCTGTGCTGTTCAAAAGCTCGTCAGGGTGGTAACACAACGCGAAGGTGGGCAGCAGTGATGGGTCCGTGTCTTGGCAGCAGGAGGCAGCATTTACATCTCCAGCATGGAGCAACACTAGGGAAATGTTTTAAGCGTGTGCCATAAGGATAATTTTCATCTGCTTGTATGACTTTGACATGTCTTTACCCTCCCAATCCCAGCTCCTCTTAGGAATAATCATGTCGATCCTTCAGTTTGCAAAAAAAATAGCCCTTTATTCCCGAAGGGAGTTAGAGGAACTGCACCCACTGTCATCTGGTAGCCAGCCAAGACAACCCGCGGCCGTGTCCCGCTCGAGGCAAAGAGTCCTAAAAACCTCTCTGTGGCTTTCAAAGCTCTGGTTTCCAGGGAGAGTTTGGCAGGAGGATGCGAAGGCAGCTCCTTGGAGCGTTCCTGGGCTGGAGACAGCTTGGCAGGCAGGTATTTCAGCAGAGCTGCTGGAGGTGGATGCGCGTGTTCACGTGCACGTGTTCAAGTGTGGGGAGTGGGCCATGGGGGTCTGCCAGCAAACCGAGGAATGCTGTCAGGGCGGAAAGCCCTGGTCCTGCCTCCCCAACGTCTTGTGGGGAAGGAGCAGATCTCCTCGCTTGACAGGAACGAGGGGCTGCTACTGGGAAGGGAGTTGTGTCACGGGTGTTGCCACTGTGGTGGGTTTAGGGGGGAGATACTCAGGTCTGCTCACTGCAACAGTCCTTGTGAAGCAGCGGAGGTTGCCCGTCTTCAGGGCACACTGGACTGGCCACAGAATGATGCAGAACAGGATGATGATCAACGCAGAGAGGAGGAGTATGCGTTTCCAGTCGTCGCACATGTCGCAGCGGGACAGCCTCCCAGCTAACCCCGCCGGGGGAGGCTCCGGACTTTCTGGCTTGCTCATGGCGACATCAATGGAGATACAGGAGTCTGGATTCTCAGGGTCGTCAGACGACTGACGGCAGCAGAGCTTGGTCCCTTCCATCCAGAGCACTTTCTCCTGCTGTAGTTCAGGAGGCAATGTGGCGAGGAGCTCCTTGCTGGTCTCGAGTGCTGGGGCACCTTCCAGAGGGATACTGGTCAGCTGCCTGCAGAAGGGGCAGGGGAGCTGGTCCTCTGGTTGGTTTGGGGGCAGCCCTGTGCTCAGGCGGGCAACACACTCCAAGCAGAAAACGTGGGAGCACTGGAGCAGCTTGGGTGTCTTGAAGGTGTTGTCATAAGTATTGAAGCAAATGGAACACTCAACAGGGGAGGTTGGCTTCGGAGACGTCGGGTTCGGAGAACCTGGCTTGTCGGTCGGGGACCTCGCCTTCCTCTTGCCATCTCCTGGGGAGGTGACAACAATGGGGCTGATGGGGATGGGGATTTCACTTGGAGATGCAGGGACCGGGCTGGTGGGAGACTCTGGCGTGTTGGAGTGCCACAGTTGCGTGAA